GCTTATCTTTTCTTGTGTTGTTTTTGCTTTCCCTTTTTCATACTTGGAATCAGTTGTAAGTCAACATAGGAAACAAATTCTTCATGTTCATTTCCCCATTGCTATAGCACAGCAAGTTTATGACACATTTATGCTCTTACCTTTGCACAAGATATTAGAGATACTGAAGAACAAAGAGTTCACTCCCTAAATATTTTCTTTGAACCTGAAATCCTTAGTGACTATAATTATAATAAGTATTTTGTGCTTTATGGAATTAACTTTTTTCTTTTCTTAACCTCCAAGTTAAGATCAGTGGTTGTTTTCAATCCACAGGTATTCTGCAAAGCCTTGGGGCTCCATGGAAGTGCTTCTGGAGGGAGATGGGATTAGAGTAATAATAATGCATAGTACTGAGTAGTAGGTAGGACTCCAGGGCCCCCACATTAGTTTCAACAAGATCTCTGTTCTCATCCATATATTAGTGTTCCAGGTTAAATTTCATTTGAAAGGGGATTCCATTACATAAATATACAGACATAGATATACATCTATAAAAATATATGTGTGCAGAGTTAGTTTAATCCTTCATATGAAGCAATAACTACACATACACACACAATAGTGTATATCTGTACACTCCCAAAAATTATAAACAAGAGAAAGAATTTAGTTATACAGACAAGCTATTCATCCAGCCCAAACAGATAGAAATTGCCCTTCTAGGTGACTAATGGGGCCCATAATCCCTTTTAGCCTAGAAAGCCATCTCTAATAACTTTCTTTTCCTAGTTAAAATAGGACTCATCAATCAGAGACTCCCTATCCACTTCCCTATTCCCAACTACCCAAAAAGCTTATATCATTTACTTAAGTAAGTCAAATTTAATTTCACACAAATAGATCATAGTTTTCTTCTTTTGTGAGAAAAGTGATACATGGAAGCGTTAAGAGATATGTTTTTTAAAATATGTCTGATTACTTTGTGTATATTTAATCTGGGTCTATAAACTTGGAAAGGGGTGTTATATAATCATATCGTCAGGACATTCTTAAACTGGAATCTGTGGATACATTATAGGTGTGTATGAATCCTCCAGTCCCCAAAATATGTAGAATGTTGTGTTCATATATGTTTTTTGGGGAAAGAAAGTGACTCCATTTCTTTCATCAGATTTTTTAAGGTTTTCAAGACCAAGAAAACATTAAGGATTACTTATCTCACTAATTCTTCCACATCTGGGCTACATATAAGTACTCTAGAAAAATAAACAAATAAGGCTGGACATGGTAGCTCACACCTGTAATCTCAGCACTTTGGGAGGCCAAGATGGGAGGATTGCTCAAGTCCAGGAGTTTGAGACCAGCCTGGGCAATGTAGTGAGACTCCATTTCTACAAAAATAAAAAATTAGGCTGGGCTCGTAGCTCTCACCTATAATCCCAGCACTTTGGGAGGCCAAGATAGGAGGACTGCTTGAGTCAAAAGTTTGAGACCAGCCTGGAAAACATAGTGAGACCTATCCTCTACCAAAAATAAACAAAATTAGCCAGGCATCATGGCATATGCCTGTAGTCCCAGCTGCTCAGGAGGCTGAGGTGGGAGGATTGCTTGGGCCCAAGAGGTCAAGGCTGCAGTGAGCTGAGATCATACCATTGTACTCCAGCCTGGGCAACGAAGTAAGACCCTGTCTCAAAAACACAAATAAATAAAAATTTAAAAATAAACAAATGAAACTTGGTGTTTTAACTGGGATCAAACAAAAAAGATAGCAAATTACAGCTATTATTTCAGATAGGTACTTTCAGAGGCTCCTTAAGCTCAAATCTATTTTCATAATTCTAAGGCATTATTTGCCTTTTCACTCTGAGCCTCTCATGAGTGCATAACGGAGTTTCCCAGAGGCTACATGACATGTAATATCACAACAGATTGAGCAGAGAAGCAGATACGAGAATCCAGCTGTCTTTTTATGAAATCAGACACTAAAGAGATTTGCAAAATGTAAAACAATGCTGGTCTCTTACTAATTTTTAAATTTTGAAAAACAGCTATTTTTCATAAAAAAAATTTTTATGTTAACCATGTAATGGGTCTGTTTTTTTGATTAATAAATATTTTTTTAGATTTCTCAGTTTTAATTTCTTTCATTTAATTTCTTGTTTCATGAGAAATAGAGATAGAGGCCAGGTGTGGTGACTCACGCCTGTAATCTCAACACTTGGGGAGACTGAGACAAGAGAATCACTTAAGCCTTGGAGTTCAAGACTAGTTTGGGCAACATAATCAGATCCCCATTTATACAAAAAAAATTTTAAATAGCCAACATGGTGGCACATGCCTGTGGTCCCAGCTACTCAAAAGGCTGAGGAAGGAGGATCTCTTGAACCCAAGGGTTTGAGGTTACAGTAAGCTATGATAACACCACTGCACTCCAGCCTGGGCAGCAGAGTGAGGTGAGACCCTGTCTCAAAACAAACCAAAAAAATATATAGAGACAAATATAATATGAACAAGTAAATTCTGTGGATCTAAACTACAGCATGAGTGGTAACGGATGATGTGTTAAATAATTGACTGTGGTAATCATTACACAGTGTATATGTATTTCAAGTGATCATGTTGTATACCTTGAATATATACAATATTTGGCAAGTTTTTTTGTTTGTTTGTTTGTTTTGAGACAGGGTCCAGCTCTGTCACCCAGAAGAGTTCAGTGGCACTATCATAGCTCACCACAACCTCTGCCTCCTGGGCTCAAGCACTCCTCCCACCTCAGTCTCCCAAGTAACTAGGACTGTAGGCACATGCCACTGTGCTGGTTAATTTTTGTATTTTTTGTAGAGACGCAGTTTTGCCATGTTTCCCAGGCTGGTCTCAAACTTCTGAGCTTGAGCAATCTGCCTGCCACACCCTTCCAAATTGCTGGGATTACAGGTGTGAGCCACCACACCCGGCCCAAGTAAATATTTTTAAATTGAAAAATATATAGATATTATTCACATAAACAAAAGCTCTTTGGTATTCTCAATAATTTTTTTAAGAGTATAAAGGAGTGTGAGACCAAAAAGTTTGAAAACTGTTATTCTGTAACAAATGACATTTTAGAAATAGGGGTGCCTCTAGAAGTTAAATCAGGGAACAGTGATGTGAATGTGTTGTGAATGTGTTGTTGATACCCTTGTTCCTCAAAGTATGGCCTAAGGTATATGTGCATCAGCATCACCTGGGAGTGTATTAAAAATGCAGGATCTTGGGCCTCACCCCAGCTTTCCTGAATCAGAATCTTCATTTTAACAAGATCTCCGGGTGATTTGTATACACATTAATGTTTGAGAAGCTTTAATCTGTATTACACCGTACTAACATTTATTTCAGTCCACCATCATTCCTAAAAGGGTTAGAGGAAGCTATATAAATAAATGTCTTCATTATACAAATGTACTTTGTAAAAGTGTATATAGCTTAATACGAAAATGTATTAACACTAATAGACATAGTTTTTTGAGGCTATTATTGATACTGTCTTTGCAAGCAGTTCTTTTAACTATTTGGTCTCATAGATCATATCATAATATCAGAACTTCATGATAGGAGTTCACAGCTTTGGGTTTGGGTCATAAATTTACCAACTTTGTCTTCTCAGATAAAAATTCAAATTTTTCCATGTGTAAATTTTACCTATAAAAATGAAATGATGTATGTTGAAAACATTTTTAAATTTAATGCTAATGCATATTAATTAGCCTAAGTTTTGCTAGGAATTTTACATTAAACCTGTTTGCATTGTTATTGCATAGCCTTTAAAGAACTTCCAATATATATTTTAAACAGTTCATTTCACTATAATTTAATACTAAAGGGGTTTTATCCCCTAGTGAGTCAGTTACCCTTAATTTATTCTATGGCTAACCTACAGCATAAACTCCAGCAGATTTGTGTAGGATTCTATGAATGGATTGGTACAGATCCATCCTCAATATGGTAGAAAAATGATAACACAGATGTAATAAAGGTGAGTCACTTTGAGAGCTACAGATTTTGGACTCCCCCTAGTGGCTATCTGTCAACAATCAGATTTATCCAACCATCTTTCACGTTGCTTTCTGTTTGCATTTTGCCACTCTTTTTTAAGATCTTTAGCAACCTGAAGAAAAAACAAAGTTCTAGTATTAGCCATTACCATAAGATGTTTTTAGGTGCTTGTTTATTTCAAAAAATTTTTGATACTATTCTATTAAATAAAGTTAACATTACTTGGGGGGGTGGGAATTAAGAACTTGAAAGATGGAAATTAGAGTTACAATACATTGCAAACTAGAAAAGAAGGAAACAGTATAAGTGACAGTAATCATCACAATACTTCATATAGTTATGAGGGAGAAGCAGACTAACACTAATTTCACAATATTTACACTAGACCCTTTATTTTGTCTATTTTAATCCTCCTTCAGCTCTGGACTTTATAGATGAAGAAATGAAGAATTTAGTAACTGTCAGACAATGAGTACATGGCAATAGACTTACACTGTCATGTAGATGTATACTTTTTCACTGGGAAGCCTTTGGCCATCATTACAGATTGTCTCAAAAGCAAGTTAAATTGCATGGCTTTCATATCTGATTTTATATTCTGATAAGTTATCAACATATTTCAATAAATTAATTTTCATTATTGTGAGAAAAATGCAATTATGTGCTTTGCGTATAAATATGTATTAAATATTTTGAAATTATTTACTTTTCATCCTCTCCTTCATGCACAGTTTTCTTTTCATTTTCTATCAATTTAGTATGTATTTCTGTCAACTAGGAGCTATTTAATTTAAATCAGTAAAGCTAACTATTCTGAAGAGAGAAATTTAAAAGAAATTGATCTGAAAGAGTTTAAGAAGAATGTGAGTTCTATGGGAGCAATTGTATAGAAAATGTTATTTTAAATTTTTACTGTTCTGGATTTTTTATCATATGAAAAAAACACTTAATGATTATCTCCACACTTTTTTCCACCACTTTTTTAGGTCTAATTGTCCAAAATGTGGCTCTGCTGGTGAATCTGGAAATGCCAATTACAGATACAAACTTTCCTTAAAAGTTGCAGAATCAAACAAATTGTATGTTATTACTGTATTTGGAAGTTGCTTAGATACATTTTTTGGTCTTACTGCCACTGGTTTGCACAGGTAAGAATACGTAAAACATTCTTTTTCCTAGCTGCCCTTAGAATTTGAAGATACAAGTTTATAAGGCAATATCCATTTTTGTAAAAAGGTGATCATTCAACCTCAGATGATCAGTTCCCTTTAAAAGACTAGCAAGTAAGAAAGATGTTTGTTTCCTGAATACATATTGTGATTATGTTAAAACAGTCTCCTTTATCTAGTCCAAGTTAGAGAAATAGAGGGTAAGAAAGTAACATCGGCCGGGCGCGGTGGCTGAAGCCTGTTATCCCAGCACTTTGGGAGGCCGAGGCGGGTGGATCACGAGGTCAAGAGATCGAGACCATCCTGGTCAACATGGTGAAACCCCATCTCTACTAAAATACAAAAAAAATTAGCTGGGCATGGTGGCATGTGCCTGTAATCCCAGCTACTAGGAGGCTGAGGCAGGAGAATTGCCTGAACCCAGGAGGCGGAGGTTGCGGTGAGCCAAGATCGTGCCATTGCACTCCAGCCTGGGTAACCAAGAGCGAAACTCCGTCTCAAAAAAAAAAAAAAAAGAAAGTAACATCATTTCAAATTGAAGAATTATCCAAATTGAGGTTGGCATTCAAATGGTTAGGTTCCCCTGAGGCAGGAGAAGCTATTTAAGGGAATATTTGCATATCAGAAATTGAAATCTTGTTTTTTTTTAAATCTGTATTATAACTTCATTTGCATAGTTTGACCTTTAAGACATTGTCCTGAGAATATAAGAATAAGCAATTAAAGCTTTTCTTCCCCCTCAGTCTTCTACCTGGCTCCCCTAATCACTTGCAAGAAATCTTTGTCCACTTTTTTGTGGTTGTGACAATAAAAGGACTACAAGCAGGATTATCAGAGAAAAGGGAAGACTTTTTCCTGCTTTGAAGTAAAGGGCTAGAGAGCCCATCACTATTCCCTCTGCCACTTTTATTTTTCCCTATAATCATTGCCAGACCTGATGGTTAGGCAGATACCTACTTTACTCACACTTGATTAATTGGTTTTGTTGAGTTTTCTGTGCTATGAGAAACTAGAGAGAACAAACTGCATAGCTCATAACGTGACTTTTTTTCTCTATAGAAGGTTCATGCTGCATTTTCAAACTAATTATGTCTCTGACTTTATAGCATGATTAAATTTTGAAGTTTATTCACTTTTTTTTTTTTCAATCAAGGTACATTCAGGATCCTAATAAAATTCCAGAAACACTGGACAATGATACAACTCAGGATCTATTAACTAAAGCTGTTGAAACTTGCTTTGTTGGACAAAGCTTTATTTTTGGAGTGACGGTAATTGAGACTAGCTTTCTTTTTAATAATTTGTTAATATTTCCATTGTAATGAATTATGTGAATTTTGTAAATAGTTGTTAGGAGTTATATAAATGTGAAGGCCTGTAGAAACACTTTAAACTATGTAAAAATAGCTATAGGTAGTCTGTTAAAACACCATGGGTAGCAACTTCCTCTTTCAAAAGTCAGGGAAGCCTACTTCAAATGCTTTCAGAGCTTAAAGTATATAAATGTATTATATATTTAGAAATGTTAGATATTTGATTTTTGGTATTTAGTATTTATTTTGCCCTCCGGATTTTATTCAAATTCTGTAGTAAAACTTGCATTAATTCTCTAGCTTTTTAATTCTGTCATCTGTAAAAAGAGAATAATGGAACACTGAAGGCAAAGTATCTTAAAACTATATTAAGAAGGATGCTCTTTAATTATAAAAATGACTGTAGAAGAAGTTAAAAGAATGTATTGACTTTGAAGGTGTTAAAAACACATGCTTTGAATGAAGAGACCCCCCAAACAGGCTTTGTGTGAGCAACATGGCTGTTTATTCACCTGGGTGCAGGTGGGCTAAGGCTGAAAAGGGCGTTAACGAAGGGCAGTAGGATAGGAGTTGGTTTTATAGGTTTGGGGTGAGCAGTGGGAAGTTACAGAGTAAGGTAAATTTCAGTGGTGGGAGTAGGGGCAAGGAGTATACATTAACATAAGTTCAGTTACAATGGCCGGTGGGATAAGAGTAGTTAAGATGGCAGGGTGGGGTGAGGGGGAGCTTATGCTGGGGGAAGCTCCCCTGTGGGCGATCAGGGATAATGGCGAACACAGGGTAGCGGGGTGGTGATCTGCCAAGGCAGTCAGGACTTTAGACTTTCTGGGTCCGGGCTTGCACATGAAGGCCTGACAGAAGGAGTAATAGTTTTCTGTCTCATCTGTGCTAAAGGGAACACAGAGACATTTTTTCCACACTGGAATCAGGGTTTTAAAAGAGGGAATAAAGGACTCCATAATAGAAGAGTAAGAAAAATCCAAAGGGAAGGTAGAATCAACAGCTACAGAGCTTTACTTTGTTAAAATCATAACCAGTTCTTTTCTCTCCTCTCTTCTTTTGCCCTCCTCCTTTTTCTCCTCCCCTCCTCTCTTTCTTAACTAATGAGAAATATGATAAGTTGCCATTTATTGAGCCACTACTATTTTCTAAGCATTGTGCAGTTTTCCATTTTATTGCTAAACAGTAATCCTGCATTTTTATTTTTATTTTATAAATGAGAAAACTAAGACTCAGAGAGGTTAAATAAATTGTCTAGTGTCCAACACTACTAGTAAATGCTGGAACTAGAATTTCTTCAAATCAGTTTAAAGCTCTTTAAGATTTATATTCTCTTAAATATGGTACTTTGCCTATAACACTAATAGAATTGAAATTGGAATTGAAGGATGAGAGTAATAGTTATATCTATTTTAGCCTTTTAAATCTGTTTAGTTTAGTTTAGTTTAGTTTAGTTTTGAGATAGTGTCTCACTCTCACCCTGGCTGAAGTGCAGTGGCAAGATCATGGCTCACTGTAGCCTTGACCTCCCTAGGCTCTGGTGATCCTCCCACCTCAACCCCCTGAGTAGCTGAGACTGCAGGCGCATGCCACCATGCTCAGCTAATTTTTGTGGGGTTTTTGTAGAGATCGGGTTTCCCCATGTTGCCCAGTTTGCTGAGGCTCAAGTGATCTGTCTGCCTTAGCCTCTCAAAGTGCTGGGATTACAGGCATGAGCCATTGCACCTAGCTAAATCTTTGTTTCATATTTAAGTAAAAGGAAGAAAATTTTATTCTTATTTAAATTTCTTTACTTCTTTCACAGAATTTTGAAAACCAATCTGGACAAGGTTCAGAGGCCAATAACTACTTACAGCAATGCTCTGTCTACAAAAGAAAACCCAAAGCACTAGTTGCTTGCCAGATTGTTCTACCAGACCCAGGTGTTGCAGGCTTTACTGTCTTTGACTACTTCCATCAACTTTTGCAGGCTTTTAATTTCAGGAAACTTCATTGTGACTCTCAGTCACCTAATAGTAACTTACTTGCTTTAGATCACTCAAGTAGTGATCTCAGCAGCATATATACTCCTGACAGTACTTCTTATTTTTTCAAGTCCTGCAGCAAGGATACTTTTTCAAAATTCTGGCTGCCATCACTTGAATTCAGTTCCATTGTTTCACAACTAACAGATGATGATTTTTCAGCTTCAGAGCAAGATAAAGCCTTTGGTACTCTTTGCCAGAACAGAAAATCCATCTCTATTGCAGAGGCCACTGGTTTCAATAGCTGCCATGATCCCATTCAGGATTCATGGAGCCTTGTTTCATATATGGATAAAAAGAGTACAGCAGAAAAGTTGGGTAAACTTGGCTTACAAGCTAAGGAACTGAGTACAGTTCCCAGCAGTCATCATGAAACTGGAGTTAATGACTCTTTGAAAATGCAAGAGCCCCTTGAGTCAAGTAATGCAGATTCCTTCCACAGTCCAGTGGAAATTAAAAATGGGTCCCAGCATGAGCCACCATGTTTCCAGCATCATGGTATAGATACCCCCACTAGCCTTCAAAAGAGATCTGCATGTTGTTCACCTTCGTTGCTCAGACTTGAAGAGACAGCCAGCAATTCCAAGGATTGTGACCCTGAAATATGGGATGATCTACCATTCTCTGAAAGCCTGAACAAGTTTCTGGCAGTTCTTGAAAGTGAGATTGCTATAACCCAGGCAGATGTCAGTAGTAGTAAACATCATGTAGATAATGACATCAGTAAATTTCATGCAGACAACAGCATGTTATCTGTGACTCCCCAGAGAACTACTGGAGCCCTGCATACACCACCTATAGTTTTAAGATCATCACAAGCAATAGTCAAAGCAAACTCTGGCAAAGGTAACTTCTTTTTCAACTGTAAAGTAAATCTAAGTCCCAGTGTTGAAAAGGAGTCACAACCAGATAACAAAGTAGAGGCTGTCTCTGTAAATCATAATGGAAGAGATATGTCAGAATATTTTCTACCAAAACCATCAGCTCTGTTTTCATCTTCAAAATATTCAGAAACAACAGTTACTCTTAAGAAGACTATAAGAATCTCACCACACAGTGATGAAATTCTACTTCGGCCCATTACTTCAGAGAGTGACCATTCTAGTCTAAATAACAAATATTTGAATGGACGTGGAGAAAAATTACTTTCAGAAATGAATGAAAAGTTGACAACTCTGTGTTGTAGGAAGTATAATGATGTGTCTGATCTTTGCAAATTAGAAAATAAACAATATTATAGGTGGCCAAAGAACCAAGATGACAGTTTTACAATTTGCAGGAAACTTACATATCCTTTAGAAACTCTTTGCAGTAATCCAAATAGAAATACAAATACGTTGAAAGACATCCCTTGTGGACATATCACTAACAGCTTAACACAGAGCAATTCTATTGGCCATGAAGGTAGCTATGATGCCTCTGCTGACCTCTTTGATGATATTGCTAAAGAAATGGACATTGCAACAGAGATTACCAAAAAATCACAGGATAGTTTGTTACAGTGGGGAATGTCTTTGCCAGAAAGTCATCATTCAGACTCTGATTTTTCACTGAGGTCACTTTCTGAAGACTTCATCCAGCCTTCACAGAAGTTATCCTTGCAAAACCCATCTGATTCTAGGCATTCAAGAACAAGCTCTCCAACACCTCATTTTCAATCAGATTCAGAATATAACTTTGAAAATAGTCAAGACTTTGTTCCGTGTTCACAGTCAACTCCAATTTCAGGGTTCCACCAAACCAGAATTCATGGGATAAACAGAGCTTTCAAAAAAATACCTGTATTTTATTCAGATCTTGATGCTAACTATGAAAAAATAAGGATTTTTCCTGAAAATGACAAGCAGCAAGCCAGCCCAAGCTGTCCAAAATACATAAAAACACCTAGCCAGAAAATCAGAAGCCCTGTTATATCTGGTATATCACAAACAGAAGTTTTCAACCACCATCCTTTAGCTAAGTGCCGTGAAACTGATAGTGATGAATGGGTCCCTCCTACCACACAAAAAATATTTCCTTCAGATATGCTTGGATTCCAAGTCATAGGTCTAGGGAGATCCCTTGCTGCCCATCATTTCCCTGATCAACAAGACTTAGCAAGAAAGAAACTGAAACATATTAGACAGGGAACCAAAAGAGGTTTAATTAAGAAGAAATTAAAGAATGTTCTTGAAGCAATAGTTATAAAAGAGAATACTCCTAAATATAACTGTAAACGTTCAAGCTGGATTTCTAAATGTCCAGACGTTCAAGTCTTAGAAACACCTCAGCTGCACCCTATTCTTGGACTTGATTCTTGTTCGGAAGTCAAACGTTGCCTTCCATTTTCAGAAAAAGGCTCACCTTCAGTATGTGAAACTAAAAGTGCTTGGTCGCCTGAATTGTTTTCATAAAAAGTCACCTGAACCCAATTCCTGAACTTTTAGATCTGTTTGGAAATGTTTGCCTTTGGTGGTATGGAAAGCATTCTTTACATTTTGAACACTTGGAGAGAAGCAAATTGAAAAGGGGACTGTGCTGAGTGCTACTGTGCCTTTTAAAATATAATTTTCCCCAGGGTTTTATCTAATATACTATGATTACATAATTGAGTGCTTTATTTTATACTGTTTATTGTACTTTAATAATATGGTTGTTTTTTGAAAGTATTAATATTTGTTAAAATCACATATACATCCAGAAATAAAGCCATTGCAAACCAAAACTTAGTCTTTCTTAATTCAGCTCAGACCAGAAAATGCCTGCTATATTATAGGCCAACGAGTGTGCTGAGTTTGGGATAGAAAGCTACAAGATCACTGATCTCAAAATAGTTTAATCTGCTGGATAAGACAGATATGTAAAAAGATAATTTCAATACAATGGAGAAAATGCAATGATATGGGTTTGTAATGGGCATGACAAACATTTACGTTGCTATGGGAGCATGGAAGAAAAGCAGTTAACCCATTGGAGAGCTGAGGGTAAGAAGAAACGTTAAAAAAAATTTACCATTTAGAAGTTATATGTGAAACTGTTACTATTTTATTTAATAACCTATACATTGAACGTCTACTCTACGTGCCAAGCACCATGCTTAGTGCTGGAAACTGAAGATAAAAAGCCCCTTCCCTCAAACTCATGATCAGTTGGAGTAATCAGGCAATTAGAATCTGGTTAAGTTCTATGATAGGAGATAAGCTTGGGGTGCTAATAGGAACAGAAATCAGAAGCAATTTTCAGACACTCAAGTCTTAGCAAAAGCTCTATTGCACCCTGTGAAATCTTTCACATAACCCTGGTCAGCTTCCTTTGCCATTCCCTACAACAACCATTCCAAAACAACATTTTCTTCATGCCCCAAACCAACTGCCACTCTCCCTGCCTCCTACTTCATGGAGAATATTGAGATCACCTGATATTTTCTCAACTTCCCACTACCAAACCTACCCACATGTCTGTATCTGTACTCACCCACAGCTGCTTTCCTCTAGTCATAGAAAATGGTACTCACCGTCTAAGTGCTAATCTTTCCATTTAGACTATTGATCTATTACACCTATCTTTGAAGTCTTGTACCAAATATTCCCCCTATATTTTTACCTTCTTGCTCTACTGTGTCTCTTCCTCCCCACATTTTTTATTTTGAAAATTTACAAACAGAAAAATTGAAAGAGGCTGGACGCGGTGGTTCAAGCCTATAATCCCAACAGTTTGAGAGGCCCAGGCGGGCGGATCACTTGAGGTCAGGAGTTTGAGACCAGCCTGGCTAAGACGGTGAAACCTTGTCTCTACTAAAAATACAAAAATTAGCTAGGCATGGTGGCGCATGCCTGTAATCCCAGCAACTTGGGAGGCTGAGGCACAAGAATTGCTTGAACCCAGGAAGCAGAGGTTGCAGTGAGTTAAGATTGCACCACTGCTCTCTAGCCTGGGTGACAGAGCAAGACTGTCTCACAAAAAAAAGAAAGAAAAAAGTTGAAAGACTACCACAGTGATACAGCATCTGTAAATACCATCTAGATTGAATAATTTTTAACATCTTACCTTTTGCATTATGTGTGTGTTTGGTTTGTGTGTGTGTATATAGATACAGTTTGGCTTTGCTAAACATTTAAAGGTCAGCCACAGACAGGACATTCACCCCTAAATTCTTCAGTGTAAATTTTCTTAAAGGCTTTTTTCTACGTAGCCTCAGTATCATTGTCACACCAAGAAAAAATAACAGTAATTCTCCAATATCATCAAATATTCAGCCCAATCAAATTTTTCTACTTGTCCCCAAAGTATAATTATTGAAGTTATTTAACCAGAATTTCATCAAGATTCATGCATCTGTTTTTCTACAACCTCACCTCTTATTTCACATAATATTAGCTTTATGAAAAAAAAATCAAGCCACTGTTTTGTAGAATGCCCCAATTCTTGACTTGTGTGTTTGTTTTCTTATACTAACAGTACGTTGTTCCTCTACCCTTGCCCAGTCCCCAAATTTCCTGAAAATTAGGCCTAAAGACTAGCTGGGGTTCAGGTTTTTTAAATGCTTTTTTAAGAGTAAAGAATCAGTGGTGGTAAATGAGTTTGCTTTTCCTTCTGTCGATACAGACTCAAGAATTTATTTTTTCAGTGAGAAGAACAATAAACCAAGCCCCGTTGCTTATGTCTGTAATCCCAGCACTTTGGGAGGCCGAAGCAGGAGGATTGCTAGAGTCCAAGAATTCAAGACCAGCCTGGACAACATGACAAGACCTTATCTCTACAAAAAAATCACCAGGTATGGTGGCACATGCCTGTAGTCCCAGCTACTTGGGAGGCTGAGGTAGGAGGATGGCTTGAACCCAAGAGGTGCAGGTTCTGGTGAGCTGAGATTGCACCACTGCCCTCCAGCCTGGGTGACCCTGTCTCCAAAAAACTGGTGCATATTTATTGTCCAGTCAGTGCATACTAAGATTCTTCTTTCTAAACTGTTTCCTAGTTTTTCGGACTAGGAAGTAGTCTCTATGTTCTTTTTGTCAGATATGCTATTCCTGGCTAATTTCATATCTCCCTCTGTGATAAAAGAGTAACAATGCTGTTAGTATTTACAATGTCATGACTTCAGAAACTGGTTGAACTATATAGATCTTGCCTCAGCAGTTCCAAAATGTCATTTGTTTAATGCTAGTTCCTCCTTTATGATGTGGCATCCGTTGTGCTACTGTGAATACTCGTTTCCAATGATCTCTCAAAGGTTGTTACTGTACTTCGCTGGTGATTACCAAAAAACCAAGTCACACTAAGAGTGTGCAGGAAAATTAATAATCAATTTTCTGGTCATATTTACCATTTTGACTAAATATTGAACCTGCTTTCCAACCATGCAGTCTCTTGAACATTCTAGGATGCAATTACTACATTCCTAGACTGTGATCTCTTTCAATGTTGGCTGCACTCTGGAAAGATAGGCAAGAGGCCTGTGGTTAGAGCAAGAAGAGTGTTTTCATTTGTGCAAAGAGTGTCTGTTCCTCCATCAGCATGGCTTAATGCCTGATCTGGAAAGTACAGTGTCACTATCAATTGGAAATGAGAGGATATTGATTGGAAGTGCCCACTGGCATTGTGGACCAACAGTCTTAAAAGGCCTCAAAGGAGATAGGCATGGCCTGCAGAAGGGGAAAGGGTAACCTTCCTGGTGTCAGTGGTAGGAGGCAGACAGGATAAATAGCAGCTGCCACTACCCTCACAGACCTGGGAAGGCCAATGTGCAGGCTTACACACACAACTCAATCCCAAGGAACAGTGGTGACCTTAGGTAGCCACAACCCTGAACTTGTGAGAGTCACCTAAAAAATATGCAGCACCATTCTGGCAGCCCAGTCTCTTACTGTCATATGAAAGAACTATTGCCTCAGCCAATGGGAATGACACCATTCTCTTAAGACCCAGGTTGATTTCATAGGTGCAAGTCCCAAGCTCCTGAGGACATTTGGTACACACCAAACGTGATGTAGAGGGTTGGAGAATGCTTCAAATGGGATAAATGGCACTATCCCGGGCATAAAAGTGAGACTTAGAAAATTTCAAGGGAGGCACTTCTGGCAACTAGCTCCCACATAGGACCAGGTCCAGGTTCAGGGTGGACATTTTGCTTAGTACCAGACACTAGAAGAGAATTTAGGGGGAACCTTGAGGAAGACATTCCAAAGCCTCAGTCTCCCTGAAGCATAGGGGCTGTGACAGGATATCCACTCACACAGGTCTCAGAGGTACTTTCTGCTCTCTCCATATTGTCCTTTTGTGCCTCTTTATTTGCCTGTTCTAAAAAGATAATGCCTCTTTTATTTTTTTTAGGCAGATCTTGGAGTGCAGTGGCAAAATCCTGGCTTACTGCAACCTCCATTTCCCGGGCTCAAGCAATCTTCCCACCTCAGCCTCCAGAGTAGCTGGCACTACAACCGAGTACCACCATGCCCAGCTAAATTTTTATTATTATTATTTGTAGAGACAGAGTCTCGCTGTTTTGGCCAGTCTGGTCTCAAACTCGTGAGCTCAAGTGATCTGCCCACCTTGGCCTCCCAAAGCACTGAGATGACAGGCATGAGCCACTGTTCCTGGCCAATTTTTAAAAATATTTTGTTGAGATAGGGTTTCCCTATGTTGCCTAGACTGTTCTCAAACTCCTAGGCTCAAGTAATCCTCCCACCTCAGGCTCCCAACATGCCAGGATTACAGATGTGAGCTGACATGCCCAGCCCAATGATGGTGCCTCTTATAGAGTGTCTAAATGAATAGAGAAACAAGGCCTAACTACAGGAAACCCACTTCACCTATGAAGACATACATAGATTAAAAGTGAATGAGTGGAAAAAGATATTCTATGCAATTGAACGCCAAAAAAAGAACAAGAGTAGCTAACTTGTATCGGATAAAATAGAATACAAATCAAGGAACATGAAAAGAGACAAAAAAAAAAAAAAAAAAAAGTCACTGTGTAATGAATAGGTCAATTCAGTAAGAGGATATAACCTTTAAAAATATTTATGCACCCAGCACCAGAGCTTTCAAGCATATGAAACAAATATTAATAGAGCTAAAGGAAAGATAAACTGAAATGCAATAATAGTGGGGGGCTAGACACAGTAGCTTATTCCTACAATTTAGTGCTTTGTGAGGCTCAAGTAGAAGGATCACCTGAAGTCAGGAGTTCATGACCAGCCTGTTCAACATAACAAGACCCCATCACCACAAAAAAATGTAAAAGTTAGCTGGGCATGGTGGTGTATACCTGTAGTCCCAGCTGCTTGGGAGGATGAGGTGGGAGGATCACTTGAGTCCAGGAGTTCACAGTTACAGCGAATTATGATAACACCACTGCACTCCAGCCTGGGCAACAGAGTTGAGACCCTGTCTTTAAAAGTAATAATAATAGAAGACTTTTCTCAGGAATGAACAAATTACCTAGACAGAAAACACCTAATAAGGCCTATCTGACACGTACTGAACATTTCACCAGGTCCTACAGAATACACATACTTTTGCACATCACACAAAACGTTCTCAAGAATAGACCACATCTTAAGTCACAAAACAATCCTGAACAAATTCAAAAAAAAGGTAAAAATCACATTAAGTATCTTTTTTGACCACAATGGAATAAAACAAGAAGTCAATATCAAGAGGAACCTCAGAAACTTTACAAAATTAATTTCCATGCAAATTAAACAACATTCTCCTGAACAACCAATG